CAACCCCGATCATGACGCCGAACAGTCGAGGACAGCGTCTTCTTGTCTATCAGTAGCACCCGATTCTCACGACCGACCGTCCGACCGAGCGTCGGAAGAGCCTCCCGTGGCCACGCCTCCCGAATCGATCGCGCTACCCGAACCGATGGAACCTGAGAAGACTAGTCCGGTAGATTTGATGGTAGAAGTCAAGCAGTCACTCCACAAATATGGCGCCACCGCGATCGTTGGAGCATTGACGCAAGGCAAACGACGCCTCCCATACAAGCTCATGACCAGCGGGGTCAAGCTGCAGCTCAGCGACTGTCGGATCCGGCGACCATGTCCGCGATCAAGCTGGAGGCACTGGCTGGATTCTGGCATATTTCTATTGTCACCGCTTGCGTCCTCGATGCACAATCCATTACTACTCCAAGCCGGAGGAAGCCTCCCAGGTCGATCGGGTCGCGGACGATTGCTCGGCCAGTACCATCCAAAGAAGGCCCGAGAATCGCGTTGGTCACGGGGTACAGCAACCAGTCCCATCTCCAGATCGTTGATACTTCCGAGTCCTGTGCTGTTCGTGCTGAAATCCCCAGTGTATCAGAATTGCGACTATCTGATCCGCAACCGGAAATCTTGGCTGGCCAGTAAACAGTGCCGCGGCAGGCAAAAGATGATTCAGCAAGGTTTGTCAAGGTCGTATATATCACCAGCTCCATGCTAACATCTCGCCAATGGCAGAGCTCCCAGAAGAAACCAACACCCAGCCTCGCAGTCCTCGGACCACCGCGACACGCCCACGCCCGCCGTCCCCCGCAGCCCGCGACCCTTGCACGTCCGGTACTCGTCGTGAGCTTCGATCAAATAACAAGCAACGGGGATACCATTCGATGGGGGAGCACCTCGTAAGGCTGTCACACTGCCGATAGAGACGACCAAGGAAAAACCACACTGTCCACTCTCAGCACTGGCAGAGCGTCCAGGCACCGCTATTCGACCCCGAGCCTATCCGTTGCAAGAAATTGTCCAAGGTCCCGCAAGCATCATGACGCGATATCACACGACCAACAGATGGAGGCCCTGGAGATAGCAGATTTTTCGGACCGTCTGCCAACAGGAACTGCCTCCAGCGTGTTGTTAACGCATCAAAAATGACGCAGGACCAGCTCGTATGTATCACCAGGCGAAATGCGAGATGCTTTGAATTGCTTTCTAACGTAACCAGGCCTCAAGCTAAGGTCCAACAGGGTGGATGGCGGGGATGACTGCTGGTCAAGTGAGTTTCTGAAGTAGACGGATCTACGCACCAGGTTCTAACAAAGCTTAGTCTTGATGGCTTTATCGTGGTTGAGGCGATAGGGGAGGCTGAAATTAATCAAGTTGTTGGTAAGGCGTCCCTTGCTTCGCTCTTTGCTTGTTCTGTCTCGATCGTTCAAAGGCTCTAATTACAGCTAGTGCTGCCGTGTTCCAGATCGTGAATACGAGTTGCTCGTACGCTCTGCAACACGGAAGCACCAGCTTTGATAAGAGCGTCTAAGTAAAGACACAAAGAGCAAAGCGAGAGACGCCTGAATCAAAGCCTTAGACGGCGGGGTCGAGCCAAGAAGAAGTCATCGGTAGGATATGCCTTCATCCTTTGCTTTCGCCGTGTTTATCAGGCTAAGCCAAGGAGCACTGAACCAATGGCCTGAGATTTACGGCGAAAGCAAAGGACGATGTACATCCTTCCGAACTTCTTCCTGGTTGGGTTGTCACAAAGTAGAGGTAAACCTAGCTAGCTCCCTATCACAAACATCTCCTATTCGAACTGTCAACTACCTATCCTCTCATGCGCCTCGAAGTAATGCCCCTAAACCACTCACAGGTAGTACTACAAAGCCTTGAATGACATGTAGTACGTCATGCCTGCGGTTCAACGCATTGTATTACCAAGTGTCAGGCCGCATGTAGGTATCGTATGCCTGTGGCCATCCAGCATATCCCATAAATCACAGCAAATGCTGTGAGTACACTATACGATGCAGCCTCTACGAACGAATTTGGGTGAATCCAGTTCTGGGATGGCCTTCGCGTCTTCACGGGGTTCCCGCTCCAACGACCGCGCAGCTTGCATGTTTGGCTCTGCATCTCCTCCATATCATGTTTCTATCTGTCGAGTCTTTACCTATCCATGCGAGTGAACTGAGCAGCCGAAAAGCTATGCCCATTAAGGTCCTGCAGAGCAGAGGTGTGCGGCAGCGGGATCGTAAGACGCTTGGGGGTGTCCAAACCGCGCGTTTTGTTGAACCGGTAAGCTAGGCGGGGACCGCCAGTTACGATTCGTCGCTGACGGTCCGGTCGACGGACAATGGTCAGCGTCGAAATTACGTTTCAGTAAGTGGTGCAGCAGCTGAGTTATGCAGTGCGGTGGGCCAACCGGTGACTGGCGGGTAACCGGGCGGCAGGCGCCGCAGCAGTGGTGCAGCGGTGCGGAAGAGAGACGCCGATACCGCATCAAATCCATCTGCTGCCAGATAATGGGGTGCCAGATAAATAGGGATGGGCAAAGTTTTCCCATAAGTTCAACTTCAACACGTGGGAAAACTTACTCCACTGAATTCTGTCCTGTGGCGCAGAGCATTCAAAACGGAGCAGCTATTTATCTCGAGGTTTTTAGATAGACCCGTTCGCTTTATAAACACTCAACAACAGCATAACAGAGTAGCCAAATGCACTCAGAAAAGCTTGTTCGACATTATGCGTCTTTCTGGTTTTGCCCACTTCACCCACTATCAACACCGCAATCCCTCAAACTTATCTTTCCAGTACGTGCTCCTTTTATAGGACGACACGTCACTCTGGGGTCGTAGGCCAAGCTTTCAGGATCTGTTATGTAATCCAGGAAATGGTCGGTGAACCGAAAGACGCCAAACCAGTAGGCGTTGTTATCAAAGCTCACCATGAACCTTTTGTAATCTCTGATGTCCTGGCCGTTCCGAACAAACGGTCGGGTATCCCCTCTCGCCCGCAAATATTCTAACAACATGGCGACAAACTGCCCGCCTTCCTCTGCGCGGATCTGCTTCTGCGTCTGTTCGTTCCGCGCGTGTCGCTTAATCTCGTAGAACATGACGGGTACCCTCTCACTGTTCTCGTCTTGACAATACATCATCGCGTCTGGACGCGCCTCGAAAACGTGCGCGTCGGCGTCGTCGAGCCTATACCTGTAACCGAGTTCTTGGAAGACGAGGTCGACAACTGAGAAGGCTTCGGGAGTGAGACTTTGCTGCATGGAGGGACCAAGAGAATTATCGACAAAGTGCGACGCCTGCACCTCGTAGTTCCATTGCTGGAGCACCTGCCCTAGACCAAAAGGACCGCTAGGAGGATCAGTGAGGTGCTGCGGTGTCGATGGTGCGCCATTTCCAACAGGTCCAATGCTTCCGGCGCCGGCGCACCTAAGCTAGCTAGCGATTCCTACGCCAAGGCGACACCCGCGCCGCCCGTCTCAAAGCCGCGAAGTGTGCTGGGACAGATCGCGCCAAATGCCGTCGCCACCAAGGCGGCTGGCAAGGCCACCTCGCCCAAGAAGAATGCGTCGCGGCTGCGACGGTTTCGGGTAACAACGACTCTGCTCAGAATGAGCATTATGAGCTGGATGGCACTTTTCTCTTTTGTTCACTGTATTGGTCTAGCGTTTGGTGACTGACTACAGGCGTTGCATGGCCGGGAGATACCCTTTGTGCGTAATATAATGGAACTGCGCACGTTCGATGGAATTGATCTGGGCTATGAAAACTGGGTGTTGAGTCTACTTTTTTGAATTGCAATATTCATTAGCCCGTCCATCTAGTTATGACACACTGGATGCAGCGCGTGCATGTGTCACTTGCTGTGTACGTGATACAATTCTCGCCATCGAACGAAGAGTACGACACTTCACCTACCGACCACTCGGCTTTACGGCTAACGTACTATTCGCTTCTTAAGCAATTCTACGCCGACATGTATGAGAACTCATATTCGAGATTTGTATCTTGTTGGAAGGTTCGGCTTACAGGTGGAGCTAGTGTTGAGCTATATAGTTAATTGTATCTAACGTGATCTAGGTGTGTATGTATATATATATGTATCTATGTACGTGCCCCAGTTCTTTCTTGTGCGACTTTTCAGGCCATAGGCTGATAGATATGGACTGTATACTACAGTACATTGTAACTATGATATAGGACACGGCTTTGCTGCAAGGCGGTAGGTCCATTATTGTCTCTTGTGTGCGTGGTTTTTCATAGTAAGAAAAGAGCGGCATCTAGATTTATTTCTTTAGCTATAGATGCGTAGTGTGGAAAGTTACGGCCAAGGTAGAGAGCGACAGGATGGAAATTCAGTAGTAGTGGTAGATGGCGCTAGTCTACATCCAGAACGTGCTGGCGTCCGCCACTAGTCAACCCAGTCACAACAGAGTCAGGAAATGTATTGTAAAGATTCGCGTCAGGGCCGGGCAAAAAAAGGAGAATGGCAGGATTTGCGCGCGGGGGTCGCTCGTACCGCCGCCCTTGCATGTTTCGTGAGGCGCCTGCCAAAGCGGCGCAAAGAGGTGGCGCTTCGCGGTTGATTGGCTGCCATGCGACCGCAGTAAACGCTGCGAGCCGCGGCGATTATGCCATGATTGGCGGTGGGACTTTGGTTTTCTTTTGTGTGCGTTGTTCACGTTGTGCACAGTCGGATGGGCGTGTCTATTTTGAGGCGTTGTGTGAAATACTGCTCTTTGTTTCAGTGCTGCGTCTTTGCCCATAGCCTGGTATAAGACACGCTGTCGGTCGTGATGGCTCTGCATTGCTTCCTCTCTTCAAGCTACAGAACTCTCATTTGGTTGAGTAGACGAATCTCCTTTATTTCTTTTTCTCTCTTTTTGTGCACATATTGCATAGCTTGGTTACCTTTTCCTAGTCATCATATCGACAACAAAACACTCAGTCACCGCACCAAGTCCACCACCTACACGCACCTTCAGGGAAGCCAAGTCGAGAAAACACAACATGGGAAAACTCAACACGGCCGTCAAACTCGGCCAGACCGCCGTCCAGGTCGGCCGTAACGCGCAAGACCTCCACGCCACCACCACCGAACTCCGCGCCATGGACAAGCGCGAGCTCGGCCGCGCCGCGGGACACACCGCCTACACAGAAGGCGCTGCGACGGGCAAGGACCTCGGGAAGACATGGCTCAAGACGTTCGAGGTCGTGCCGCGCATGGTCTGCCGCGGTCTGCAGTTCCTCTTCGCCCTGATCGCCTGCGGTTTCTACAGCTATGCAAACCACAAAGACAGCGAAGGAATCGCGCCGGAATGGCTATTTGCCCTTACCATCTGCGGGCTGTCGGCCACCACGGCGGTGCTGTTCGCCCTGGCGACGCCCTTGGGCGCAATCCCCTGCATCGGCAGTAGGATCAAGCTGTGCAGAACGTACCGCGCATTCGCCTGGGATCTAGTCCTCTTTGTGTGCTGGCTTGTTACCTTCGCACTCTTCGCGGGCATCTTCCTGCACCGGGACAACGATGAGGTGTACAAAGGCGCGAACCCGGCACCCATGAAGATTGCAGTATGGATCGACTTTGCTAATGTTTTGCTGTGGTTGGCGTCCGGGGTATACGGGGCGCTGAAGACGTTTCTGGGCGACAAGGCGGATCAGATAACGGGGAAGCTGGGTACCAAAATGTTTGGGAGGAAGGAGGAGCCAGCGAAGGCGGCTGGATATGCGGAGAGCGTTTAGATAGATGCTACCGATCTGTGGTCTCAAATGATCTGCAGTCTCAAAGGTCGTACTGTAAGCGTGCAATCAGCAAATTTGCGTGAAAATACACTCTGCTACCGGCGAGAGGGTGTGTTATCAGCTACTCCTAACCGTGTGGCAACGCTGTGCCAAGCCAATCACTCAACATGAGGCGACAAGTGGTAGGCAACATCTGTACCAAGTTGTGCTGTGACTCCTAGTGTGTGACGATCGAGTGGATATTGCGTGTCGAGCTTTCCTCCCGCGATGCATTGCGGAAACGAATGGAAGCCCGGACTGCAGCGGTCTCCTGATGGCTCCTATCGAATTGCGGATCTCTCGCTGCTAATGCCAGTAAAGACGGCCTGAAGCTCAGTGACAATCAAGTAGAGACTAGCGATTTTTCGCGCCGCCTTTTCGCACAGCCAATTCACGGAAATGATATCTGACCTGCTTAAACCAAATTGCAGTTAACAATGATGTTATTGCTATTACAACTACCATAGACCCCTTGTTATTCAATGGAGACAAAATCTGCGACGAGCTAGTTGAGCGAAGTGGCCGGAGGTCATCCTGCCTGGCCAAGTCAGCGCACGAACGTACCAGGCATCTGATAATATAGAAACGATTTACATTGTGCATGTCACTCTACCCTAACCCGCCTTAGCGTCACGAAATCGACTGCATTGGGTCATGGCCAAGGTAAGAAGTAGTGTTTACAGAAGAAGATAAGGCTCCTAGCTGTTGCTTTACGTTATCACAAGAACTGTCCGGCTGGAATTGTGAGGCACTACTAGATCATGTATAGCCCATGCCGAGTTACGGCGTGGATTAACGCGGTAAGACCGTCACCCACTAATGCAATAAGGTTCCTATTTCGTTCCTAAGAAGCGAAATGTGTAGTGTACACCCACCTGTTTATGTACTTACTTCTGCCAAGGTCGACAAGCAAGTGTAGGGGAAGTATTATGGCTTTTTACCACATTGGATTGGCTACCTATAGATACGACGCTTCACCGGTAGGGTTCAACGCACATGCCACGACAGCTCTCTAGGTGCCGTAGGTAGTGAGCTAAGTTCTTTATTGGATTAAAAAACTAACGCTGCATTTTCGAATGCTGTGGTCCGGCAGCTTTTGCAATTGTCTTCGAATTAATGCAATCTACTTAGAACCATGGCCTAAAATAGAAAAATAGTTCTAGAGAGTTCTAACTTAGACCTATTAAACTAGGGTTTGGCTAATCCTCTCTATGTATCCTAGTGTCTTACACATCTAGTGTCTTATATATTCTAGTATTTTATGCATCTAAACTTACTATTACCCTTATAGGCTATATCTTTACGGCTGGTAAGCCATAATAAGAAGTAAAGCCTATTAATATTAGAATAAGTAATGTAAAACATAATAAGTCTATATACTAATAGGTAGAAGGCTATTAAACTCTTAAAGGGTAGCTAGTTCTAGAGGGTTAGGTTAGTTCTTAGGTAGGAGTACTCTACATTAAGAAAGGAAACTCGCGGCGAGGCTGCCACAATCAGTAAGCCTACATGCAACTTGTGAACCAATAAATTCTTCGCCTTACTTCCGGTCCCACAAATCACCTTCTATTACGGCGAACGAAACCCAACGTTAATCACGAACGCTCGATCTCGAACGGAACCAGAATCTAATCACGAGAATACCCACTAATCTACTGTTTCTTAACGCAAACCTGCCTTGAAGGGTTTTCCGATTGGGTGGTAATGCAGCGGTATGTTTTGAGTAACTCTGAGGCAGAATATGTACTTCGTTATACAGTAAGGACTTTCAAAAGAACAGCCAGCAGTCGGGAGATCCTACCGACGCTGAGTGGGCTTGTGTAGCCTAACTTTTAGTGTCAGAGGTGTAATCTTGTCGTATCAGTCTACCTCACCAGGATTGTGAACCTGCACATGCCGGTCTTGTTCTTGCGAGTCTGGCCGACGACTAGCCAACGCACGCCGGCATGGCTGGAGGATAGCAAACAATAGGATTCACTTTCAGTCTCGATAGGACTTTCCGGACATGTCGGTCTAGTATGCACGCCGCGATCACCACCAAAGGACCGGAACACGATGTCGATCCCAGATCAGATGCTAGGGAAGCCTTCTAGGACCTCATCAAACCACAAAGCAGATGTTTCGGTCACAGTTCATTTTAGCTTATCTACCCAGCTTACCTCCAGCTTTTGCAGGGGCTGACCAAAAATGTCGACATATTAGCTTTAATTCCACCGACAACGATGGCGCACCCGAAAAGAATAAACAGTGAACCGTGGCCGCGCAATTGGACAGATCGTCCACCCCTCGTATCCTCTTTATCTTCTACCTCCTTGTGTCCCACCTCCACACGAGCTGTTACAACGCCTTCGTTCCTCGATCTGAGCCTTCCCTTCATGCATTCCGGCATCATAGCGAGAGAGAAGGCGATGATGGAGCGCCTAAAGGATATTGAAATCGAACGATAATTGTCGCACCCAAAGGATGTGCTGGATCTGGTGATGCTTCAAGGTACGTCCGTCCCCACCCATCGCTCCTCTGTCACTTCGATCGCCCGATCGGGTGTCTGTTCATTTTCCGCCTTCTTGCTTCCCACTTCGCCAGCTGAAGAAACATCCTCACTTCCAAGGCGGCGTTTTTGGCTAATTATAAAGGGGCGCTTGAGCTGCCTGAATAACCCGAGCTCTTTCTGAACGTCCACGGGTAGCCTGTGATCACGGGATAGGTCGCCTGGACTGATGGCGTCGCGCGGTGTACACAAAGTCCTTTGGCTGGTTAAGGCGAGAATATTTCATGGATTGATGTTGCAGAAGGTTGCGGGTTCTACCATGTACGCGGCTTTCCATGCGCAAGCGCAGTTGCTCTCTGGGTGCTAAAAAGATATTCAGCTCGTCAATGGTATGTTCCTGGAGCTAGATCCGAACATAAAGGATATATCCGTCGTCACACCTAATTGATACAGAAGAAGAGATCATTGCGGCCTTTGGCGATGCAGTAGGAGGCATGCTCTCGAAAAGGGGCGGCAGATGCCTTGATTGGCGAAGTAATGGGACCTAGACCGTCTTCGAACTGAATATTCAATATCATGATCAAAAAGGTCTCTATCTCTGTTTCGACGTGCTTGAACTAGAAACTCGTAAAGTATACGGAGCTGTCGTTCCCACGCGATATCTCTATCTTGCCAAAGTCTTCCTCAACCGAGTGGTTACCCTCAGAAGGAACCTCTTCAAAAGCTGGAACAACAGACTCTCCTTGAGGCAGAACTGCGCTCTGGGAACGAAGACAGCGATCTGGTCTTAAGTTTAAGGTGTTGGTTGCTGCCTGCTCGTAGCCTTGAGGCACTTTCGCGGCCTCAATAAACCTGTTGCGGGAGGCTCATGATCGCACTTTCCATACGTAGAACGGGAGCATCAGCTAGCCCCATTCTCCTCAGCACTCGCCATCATCGAAGTCATAATCATGGAGATTGTCCATTTGGGAAGTCGAAGTCAAAGCAGCAAACACAACTCATTCAAGGAAGTTCCAGAATCTACAGCAAAGGTGCGCCTCTTTGCCAATGTTCAAGACACTTGCGATGAGCCGTTTAGCTAGTGGGTCGACAATATAGTGCAATTTGTGGTATCGCCGAGTATTTTGCAATGACCTGTCGTATCAATCATGAAGCTGCATACTAAGAGTTGAGATTGTTGAGTGACGTGATGCCATATCACTCGGGACGAAGAGCTGTGGTGTAACCTAGCGCGAGAACCTTCCAAACAACGAGTCGCACAAGTCTTGGCCCACAAACAACAACAAATATCGACATGAGTCCACTCTTCGGAGGAAGTTCCGTCTGGATCGCAGCGAACGAATGTCATCTCATCGCGCCAAAATGCACCCCGTACTGCGCCGCTTTGCTCTATTGCCAGCGCGAAGCCCTTTACGGCTACCTGATTTCCACCCCTCCAACAGGCCGCTCGGCGCTTTACGGTGGGCTCTCCACTACTCAACGCCCGCCGTCGGCATCGAAATCCCTTCCAATCAACATCTCGAGCTGCCTCAGCCACCACGTCGCCCGCGCCTGCAAGCCCGCCTGCAAGCCCGCCTCGAAGAAACCTCCCAACCCACTTCGGCCCTGGTCTGCATCACGTTCATCGATCTGAACGGCGATCCCACAGTCACACACACGCAAGTTACCATCGACAGCGAACACACGCTCCTCAGCGTTGCGAACGACAATGATCTAGGCATCCCAGCAGATTGTGGAGGCTCATGCGCCTGCTGTACATGCCACATGATGATTGAAGAGTCGGGGGCAATACCGGGCATAGTTGGGCCGCCAGCGTCGCAGGACGAATACGAGATGCTATCCTGGTCGAAGAATGCTACCCGAGCCAGCCGGTTGGGATGCCAGGTGCGAGTAACTAAGGACATGGATGGACTGGTTGTAAGGCTTGTGGACCCTTATGAGTGACGGCCTGTGCCATCGCATGGCAGTCGAGGCAATTTCCCATGTACCTATCCAGCTTAATTTAGAATGACAAATGAACCCCATACAATCTAAGATGCTACTGGTGAGTTTGTCTTTGCCCAGCTAAAAGCAATGCAGACTCGGCCACCCTCAATTGTGACGACGTGCTCGAGGCGGAAGCGAGACCAACGAACTCACGGGTGTTCAACCATAGCACCAATCTTGTTCTAACGTCTCAGCATCCACCTGACTTCATTGATATCCTACATCAGCCACATGTATTGTGTGAGTTGTACCTTGTCAAGGCCACTATCGATGCGAGGCCGCTGGCGGAAGTGCGAAAGGCGCAAAAGGTAAAGGGCGTAGCTCGATTGAATACTTGGCCATGTAGGAAGAAGATGCGCGCTCGACAGCCCGTCGAAAGCCATGAGAGTCTTGCGCAGGTCACTCTGCCTTGTCATGGCATTCGCTGTTGCTTCGCTCCTTAGCGTTGGAGTCATTAGGTCGCAAACCGCTTCTTCAAACGCGAGTGTGGGCTTCCTGGGCTGCTCGGCGGATTACATGCTCGCCTTACCGACTTCTCGGTGGTTTCAAAGTTGTGGAGCTATGGCTAGATACTTACAAAGCTGTGTGCGACATGCGTGAAGCCAGGGAAATAGGAGGTATAAAGCCGCGAGGAAGTAATGTTGAAACATAGGGTGGATTTTAATGCGAGGGCCAACGGTGCGCGTTATAGCCGACCCGCACACGGACTTCCAACAACAGCAAGCCATTCATAACGAACAACTAGTCGAAGCCGAAGCAACAGTCCCAAACCCCCAAGCAGAACCCAAAATACCCGAAGTACCCCCATCACAGAAAGCGGCGCCGCAGAGGAAACTAACAAGCCTTGAAACCACACATCCCAGCCTAAGATGGGTAGCATGCCTTATTTGACACTATCGTGAGCTTCTCGTTGATGGTAATGGACATTGCGACTGTTTCGTTCCATGTGTGAAGTGTTCGTATAGTGACTAGTTCAAGGCGGATTCACCAGTCGGAAGCGTGTGCAAAAGAGTTGGAGATGTTGGTGGATTACGTTCGAGTGTTGGCGCATGTGAGGTTGTAGAGTAGTGCAAGTACAGTCTGCGTATTTTGAGCGCGATCACAGCTCGATTCGCGAGGAATTAATCGGCAGGAACAGTCTACAGTAAACACGACTTCATACTACGGTCTGGGGTTGTCGATGGAGGGGCGGACTTGAGCGCATATGCCAAAGCAAACCCTGATCAAAAAGGCAGCCAATCTGATAGCCTAGCAAACCAACCTGCCTCGGAAACTTCATCAACAGCGCGAAACGAAGAGCACATAAAAAAATATAAATAACAGTAACAATAGTCGATCAACCACTCTGCGGTTGGATGACTGCGGATCCCATTATTCAATTCCAAAAAGTCCGACGACAACTACGAACAGCGGATAAACAGTAGGCAGCGCACTACAAGGTGCCAATGCCGTCACTCTGCGTGGGTTTCCATCTCACAAGGGCGCAGGAAACGTTTTGGGAAACAGAGCGATGAAACTGTTGAGAGCTTACCACAAAGGATGAGAGCCTGTGCTGCTGAGGGAGGCTAAAAGGGGAACTCATTGTGTCGTCTATAGTGATTTCACATTGCATATTGAAAACCAGGTCTGGAAGAGGTCGAGAATTGCGCGGCGCAGAATATTTTTACGGATGAAATAGAGACTACATCTTTTCAATAAGCACCCGACTCGAGCCAATGTTATCGAAGACGGAGGAAGGGAGATGAACCACCATAAAAGTTTTCTCGAGCGAAAGCTAATCCTGAGTGGATTTCGTACACCCTTTATACAAGACAAGCCACTGCATATCCATTTTTTTTCGTCCGGCAGCCCGATGTCAGCTCATCATACTAGAGGTTCATGCATCTCTCCTTGCCTGTACCTTTCCACGTCCTTCCAGTCTCTGCCCTCTAATGCCGTTCCCGTCAGCAACGCTTTATTCAGCACGCACTTTGGACCGCGCCTCAGTATTATTCCATGATCCCCTGGACCATGATATCTTTCAGGGTACACAATTCCCCTACAAACATCTCTATCGTCGTTTCCATCTCCGAGGAGCTCGAACTCTGCTCGTCTGATTCCCTCGCCTCCGTCCTTGGGCGTGACCCCCGTCGCGAAGACGAGATCCGCGTCGTTCTTTACCTGGGATGCAATTCCGTAAGAGGTCGTGCGGTAGCCTCCCTGACTTTGAAATAGGTCGATTCCCTTTTCGCGATCCCAGAATCCTACGTTGTCCCATCTCCTCTCAACCCTTGTGATGCGGTTCGATTTTACGTATCCCGTCATGTTCGCGTCCCAAATCCAGTCCGCCAAGTCTATATTCTCTCGGCCCCCCGGAACGTCCGAATTGTCGAAGATAATGCGGAAAGTATCCGCAGCGAATGCGTCGTCATAGTGCAAACGAGCAAGAAGATCGTCAATTGAACTCAGGTGCTTCACAATGTGAGGGTTAACTCCTACAGGTAGCGGATCGTCGAAGGTTTTCAGATCAGTCCCGTATTCCCAACGCCATGGCAGAAACCCTATAATCTGAGCTGGACGGGAACCGGGCAGGAGAGATGCAAGTTTACGTGGCCAGGGGGTTTCATCGGGATCGAAAAGCCAGATGGGATAGGTTATCCCCAGAGAGAGAAGTTTCTGGGTACGCCGATTTTGGGCGTTCAATGCTGCCATGAGGTTTAATGGGTTGCAGGAACAGTTGGAGAGCGCTACGAGGAGGATTTGTCCATGGGCGTGAACGTGGTCAAGAAATGTGAGTCAGTGCTGCCGCTAAGGCTATTTAAGGTTAGACTGATAGTAGCGACATCAGGCAGCAGCCCTCGCGTAGGTTCGGTTTGGGATTGGCCTTCAGTCTCGTGCACCCTACGAACAGACATCACGCGAAATGGCAAAACAGTTGCGCTAATACATGAACAACGTGGAGCAATAAGGACAAAACAGCAGACTTACGCCGTTCACTGGGATCAAGCGCAGCTCGCAAGCTTCGATCATGGAAGGTTACCTCATGCCCCCACGTATCACACTGCTCAGCGGAGACGTAACAATCTAAAGGGCGTGACCGACTATACATGCGTTCCTCCGCTTCAGCCTGGTAGCTATTAACACTCTCAATATGAACCTAACCTACAAAGCAATCATTCCTACACCCTTCAACGGATCTGCGCAAAGTATCGCAGTCCGCATGTCCGCGCTGGAACTGACCATGGCGTTGATACGGTAGTTAGGGCTGCGAAATCGCGCAGGCTGCAAGTGGGCAACTCACATCGGCGGTGGTGAAGGAACTTCCTAATGATGGCCATTTTGTCTGGGCCCATCGTCGACTTGCTTGCACTGCAGCTGGCTGCGTTCGGGCGTGAGCTCGACACAAATTGCACCTCCAACATGCCTTGGGGTCATAATGGGAGTGCAAATGCCTGGGCAAGAGGGACGTGGAGGTCCACGTAAAGACTGGGTGGAGTCTATTCCGGTGGTATGATAGGAATAGATGGATAGCTGCCCTCCCGCGCCGCATTCGCCGGCGGCATCGAGAATCGAAAAGCAATCGAATTGACTGTCAGCGCAGAGTTGCATATGATGTGCATGCTACTTGTGGTCTAAAATCTTCGAGACCCAACTTCGAACTCGCCGTAGCATGACATCTACGTACGATCGTTCATCATAGGAGCATCGACACCATCTGCAGATCTCTAGTCCTCCTCGTTCTGGGTTAAGTCGTCGTCTGCGCAGGTACAGCGGATACGTGGTCGATGAGTGATGGTATGCCTCTTGGTCAGCTGAACTCTCAAGCCGATGCCCAAGTCCACGAACGTGACGATTCAATTGTTCGCCATTCACCCGGGTTGCAAGCGAACGGGTACCTCGTTAGCATCATACCACGAACTGTTTAGTCTCTGATTGCCTACTACCTGATTCTGATATACGCACGAGTCTTTCCACTAGTACGAGATAGATTATCCTCCCAAACACCAATGAATTCTGGATCGCCTAGTTCCGCATATAGGATCTCTATTTCCTTCTTTCCGACTAGATACAGGGTGGTTCTAACTTTCGTACATCTATGTCGAATCCACTCTCAAAGCCACAATAGCAGGGGACGGGAAGAAGAGTCCAGGGACAGTGAAGAACTTGCTGAGAAAAGGTAGGATTAGTATACAAATGGGGGACGGGAGATGTGACGAAGATCTGGATTAGCAGTGAACGAGTGGATGGAGGGGGAGACGGAGGAGTGAACGTTTCCTTGTAATCTATGAAATGGGTTTTAACCTTGTACATCCATGCACAATAACATCCTACTCAAGCCCATTTCCCCAGCAGCGCCATGATTCCAGTCCCGAGCAGAAGACACACAACCTTGAACGTTAGTAACTTCCCTTCCCTCGCGTCCCTCGGATTGAATAGGAAATCGCGTGCAAGCAGCTCCACTAGCCCCGTGTAGATTAAAATCCCTGCTGATATCGAATCCAGCACCCCGGAAACCACGTTGGCAGTGAAGCTCCCTGGGTTGTACGTCGTTCTAACGCCTAGCCCCGCCGCAATCGCAATCGGGGTTGTGAGTCCATAGGCTACGCACAGCACAGAGGGCATCCACCGATAGCGCCTGGGAAAGGGGATGGCGGAGAGCCGGGCGCCGATTCCCAGGCCTTCGAAAGATTGGTGAAATACCAGGACGGCATAGAGTGTGGAGAACTCATCACCAGCAACGCCGAGGTTCAGCCCGATGATGACGGAGTGGAAGATGATGCCGAATTCAAGAATTAGGAAAGCGGCAAACTGTTGCTGAAATGCGATTCTCTGCACTCCTTTGCTCGCCTCTTCACTATCCGTGTCGTTCGGAGAAGGCTGTTCGATGTCGTTCTTGTTATGTCTGCCATATTCTGAAGAGCTCGTCGTCCCGGGCCGCCCGGCTCCTCGCTGCTCCGTGGTGACGAGCTGCTCGATGCTCTGATGATCGCTTACCCCATACTTCATCTCAACGTAGCATTTGGCTCCCAGATCTACCAAGAAGATTGCCATGATCGCTGTCAAGACCAGTGCTGGACACCACGAGAAGTCCGACCATGCTCCTGTCATACCTACGCACGAGGCTGGACCAATCTCCTCATAAGCGGGGTCGAGAAGGTGGATAAAAGCCGTGGCTATGATGACACCGGCTCCGAAGTACCGCGCAAACAGGTATACCGAGAGCGGCATCCGTAGGCCAGGGAACTGCTTGGCGAGGACGGGAAACAACGTAAAAGCTGTCGAGACAAGGAGAATGACAAAGATGGAGGAGATGCGGGCACCCATGTGGCCATTGTACTCGATATCGCCGGCGTTGACGTAGCAGATGATTTGCCTGAGATCAAAATCAGGGTCTGTCAGATCGACATGTGTTGGGTCGAAGCTGGCGGCCATTTTGGGAGTTTGCAGGGTATTTTAGAACGAAAGAATAACCGCAAATCCATGATGTACCAGTCGCAGAGTTTTATATGTGCTGTTGATCCAAAGTGGCGCAGGTATGAGCACCTTGATGACAAGCCAAAATTGGTGCGCGTGTTCAACTTTTAGCCCGCACCATCGACAATAGGGTGCTCCGTCCTCACCGTCGCATAATGCTTGGAACCGACGACGAGTATGTGCATGAGGCACCTCGCTTTTGCTGAAATTTTCGATACCGCCGTTGCCCCCGTCTACTCGAGTGGCGCAGAGGCATGTCACCTGGCTGTCACTGGGTGATGGCCGGGTGCGGAGGAGACGGAGGCTCCGATGAGAGAGATTATGCCGATGAGGTAGGTTTACGGCTAGTAGCCAAGTTGTCATGGGTTTCCGGGCGGCGTATTGTATGGGTCGCGTTGAGCAATATCCGAAAGCCACTAGGAGAGCCTTGACGGGGATCGCCGACAGGTTGACAAGTATCAATCCTATCGTGTCCCCAGGCTCTCTGTCATGAAAAACCGATTTCCTAGATTCTACGACATCGATACTTCGAGAATTCTGCTGTCGTCACCAGCTCGCTTTCAGTGTGCTGTGATCGAGGATGAAGTCCACAGATGCTGATCCCGTGTCCGTATAGCTTACCTTCCTTCCTCATAGCCGACGCCTACTTGGAGCTTTGTAATGACTATGCTGGTACTCCACCCTCCGAATGGCAACTACCTAGGTATGTTCCTGGGACAACCTACCCTGATGGAAATTGATACCGTTGCTACGTCCAGCACATCGTTCACAGTCCAAGAGCCCGGCGCCCCAAAGACTCAGAAACAATGTTTGCATCTTTCCCGCCTTTGGTCTTGTGTATTGCTGTAATGGCTAAGGCGCGAAGAGTCATTAGTATCAGTTCCCAACTGTCGGGACACTGCAAAACTACGGCTACGCACGGTCGGTTTACGTGCAGGTGTTGGGAACCATCTTTGGTGAAGCAAACACCATGTTTCGTCTAACTTCGGAACCCTCCCATCCTGACAATGCAGCATGGCTCCAAAAGATTGGTGCATCTATCCAATATTGCTGGCGCGTCAGAGAAAAAGAAGACCGAGCGTTGCTTTGGCGGCGACGAGTCGTACGAAGGGAGTGGTTCGTGGAGGCGGGGGGTTCAAAGAAAGCAAAGGGTCCGGAGCTCCAAGATAGCATACTTCGCGTCCCCGCATCCTGACAATGCATCTTCTTTGTTTTCCTTGATACTTTCTAGACCGAAGACACTTTCAAAGCACCCCCATACTGATAAGTTCTCTTCCTTATTCCGACTCGGTTATAAGCGACGATATGTTCACTACGCAGCGCCGTGTCACCTACTCATATCTCGACGGAAGGTGACTTCAGGAGTCGTCCTAAACGCGTCGACAAAGGCATTGACTGCTGAGGGCACAAGCTGAGTTTGGGACGTGACTAGTTCTAAATGCCCAGGAGGACGACTGCTTGCAGTGTCGATTCTCTCGCCGCACTTGAGAAGCGAAATACCGAGTAGGATGGCCCGCGATGACTAAGGTATGTGCAGTTCTATCGATAGCTACACACTAGTACACATTAGGAAAGGTACCGGCACATGGCTTGCGACAGGCCCCGGGGGTGTGCGTGGAGATGGAAAGAGGCATGAAGATGCTCCTTGAGCATGCGAAGCTCGCCGCTCAATCGTGACGACGTCAAGCGCTGCGACGGACCACTACATTGCGAAGCGCTCGGAAGTGTCTCTGTGCTTTTTCATCACAAAAACCCGAGAACTTCTAAGCGGTTGGTACTGGTAACGTGGCGGATGTGGTCCGTGCGCGTCTCTTCCACACTGCATGTGGTCGGCACCATGTTTCTGGCAACCGTCATACTCGACGGACAACAACTCAGTCGCACAGCAGAGCACTACTACACCGTCTCTCACCACTGAGCCCTGCCGCTGTTTCTCTCACCTTTGCCCGTGGCCGCTTCGACTGACCCACCTTTCCTCCGTCACCTCGCCCACACTAGCTCAGCATGGCCAGCGACTGCTCGAGCAAACGCTCTCTTTCGCCTGAGTATGACGAGCCTCCCCAGCTCGAGGGCTTCGATTGGCGCTCCATTGACCCCTCGCTCCAACCAGGCAATCCCTACTTCGACTCTCTGAACCCTCCACCGCTCTCCTTGCACGGCAGGGCATTCTACGACAACGTACCATTTCCGGATACTCTCCTCACTAGGGACGCGCTGCGTGAACTGAATCGCCAGTATTGGGAGCACTACGACTGCGCCCGCGCAAACCACCAGCCTTCCAGAAACAGCGGACTTCCCACTCCCACCGACACAGCCGCCGAGGAAGACTTTGTGGGCAGCGAGCTCAGCACTTCTGGCTATGACGAAGTATGTATGCTGTCCGGTAGAGTTTGAGGGCTGTGCTAACTGTTCCCAGAGTTGCATCGAGATGGGTCCAAAGGGCCGTCCCAAGAAGGCTTCACAGGCGTCGACGTCAAGAGCGACAGATAAGTCTTCGCCTTACGACGTCAACTTCGAAATGAAGCTCAGGAGGTCTAATATTTTCGCCCCATTATACGTTGACTCTAAGGGAAATTTCGCCGAGAAGGCGGCCGACTTAGACGCAGTCATCACCAGACTGAAACAGTCCCGACACGATATGGGGGGTGTCACCGAAGACACACTCAGAGCAATCACTAGAATGGTCAGTATGACCGAGAAGGAGATCTGTGAAAATGGTACCCTCTACGAGATTCTAGCCACAGACGTCTCTCCGGGAGTCTGCGGTAACGATCACTTGTTCAACAACTTGCTCTCCTTGACAAAGAAGAACGACCAGGTGACGTATGCAAAACCGGACTATTACATTGGTACCCATCCCGATCACGTCGATGAGCAGGTGTACCGAGACTTGGGTCAATTCATCCAGCCTTGCACAGATGATCGGCGCCCAGTCGCCCCCAATTTTTTCGTTGAGGTCAAAAGTATGTCCGGCAACCTAGATGCTGCCTTTCGACAGGCTACCTATGACGGCGCGTTGGGTGCTCGAGCTGTCCACGAACTCGAGAATCATCTCAACTACGGCGGACCTACCTTTGACCAGAAAATTAAGGCAATTAGTTGCATATTCCATGCTGGGGTCCTTTATTTTCTTGGATCGCATTGCAGCCCTCGCGGCCCAACTGGGCAAGACTCTATCATCACCCATCGCCTCTGCCGGTTCCTTCTGGACGACCTGCAAGGCTGCAAGGACGGCATCGCCGCTTTCAGGAATGCCGTCGAGCTCACTGGTAAGGTTCGAGATGCAGCCCTTGAGAGAGCGATCAGCCGGCCCAGGCTCAGTGGAGAAGCCAGTGACGGCTCTACCTCTACTGATGAGCTCCAGCGCCACGAAAACATCTAAACTCTAGTACCCATCTTGTACACTGGCAACTGTTTTTCTACTGTACTGTACAGCAATTGGCATACACATGCGTATGCTCAGATTTTGGTGGGTTCTAGAGAGTTCATTGCGTTCCTTTTGTTCACATTTGCTTCCAAGATACCCCCATTTCTCAAGATGGGCCGTCTAGATAGGCTTTCTAGATGGACTCAATATACCTCTCCTCTCATTCACTTACATTCGGATCACGTTCCCAATTCATTCATATCAAGTATCGCAACCTTCCCCCACCATGTCTTCGAACCGACGAGACTGTAATGCGTCAATGGCGGCACTCACGGATCGTAAGTCCTGGGTATACTCAACCAAATCAGACATTGATACTGGTACTAACTAGAATGTGCGGTTGTGAGAAGCGGGAGTGTGGTGGATATTCAGCGCTCTTGCTGGCGATAGACATTCATGATTCGTTTCTGCGGGTTTCGGGAAGATAGCGGAGGTTTGCCTGGTAAACATGCGTCGGCAGAGCGTAATTGGAACCAGAAGTCAGACCCCCAGCGATCTAACACGGCCTTGCTATGTGTTATCTTGCGTTCAACGGTGGAACCTTTCTGTAGGGTAAGCCCACGTGTGAATTCGTCAAGGAACTGTCGGAGATGGCGGTGGGCTCCGAGCCAGAGCGCGGCAGGCCAGGATCGACTATGCGCTTCGCGTAAGGTAGTCGCCTTCTTCGTCTCCACACCGCCGGTTCGTTCACGTCTTGGAAGGTTGGAGAGGGCGATGGGGTCGAGCGCGTCAAAGCGCTCCACAGCATCGAGAAGGGCACGCTTGACCGCAGCAGTGTTGGTATCTGCAAGTCGAGCGATGAGGGCGGCAGTGTCTTCCTGTAGTTGTTCGACCATTGGTGGATGCAAGAGGCTCGCAAGCGGTGAGGGGTGGCAGCGGGTGTGAGAAGGTCCCCGTGGAGGGAAGTCGCGATTCCACGGCAGCGGAAGGCAATCGCTGCCCCAGCCACGGGCCTATCGGCGCTGACAGTACTGCAGGCGAATGCGTGCGAGGTGTGTGGCGCGCAGAGCGATGGAGTTATACGTCGAAGGTGCGATCTGGCTTCATCAGGCAGCGTCCATGGCCGGCTGCGAACAAGACATATCCCGTACCCTAGCCACGCGTTCCCCACCTCTGGAGTCTCCACTCCGCCTTCACTTACAATTTCGGCGCACAGACCATAACAAGGTGGGCTGTATACTCATTTGCAAATCTAGCTACCATCCATCATGTTTGGCAGCTGCTACACCGAGTCGTGTTCTATGCATCCGTCATGGACAAGCGGTAAGTGTTTACTTCGCATCTGCATGAGCGTACGAGTTGTTGATAATGTCTACAGGACCGATGAAGAGCGTTTCATACTTCTGCTGCGCATGCTCGACTTTACCGGCGTGGAGGTGGACTTCGAGACTCTATCAAGGCAGTGGTGTATGTATCGGTCCCGGTGCGCGTCCACTCTGCGACAATCGACTGACGTGATTCTTCCAAGATGGGGATGAGTCCCTCAGCAGGGCTCTGCGCGAGCAATTCCGTCACATATGCGAGCAGTACGGCAAAATAGCCCACTCCCCGGAGATGCCTGCACTGCCTGCTAATCTGACGGCGTTCATGGATGCCATGCTTGCGGAACCTTCCCAGGGGAACACGGAACAGGCCGTAGGCGTGGCAGCAGGCGACGCACTGTCACTCTCGACATTCCGTATGGCTTCCCTCTCGATCGAATTTTACAGTCGATTTGACATGTCACAGATGATTCCCCGCTTGAGGACACAGCTCAAGAAACGTCAGCGAGGTGGCTGTCAGACTTCCAGCACGACCTTCAGCAATACGTCCGCCAACATGAATCGGATTTACTTGCAGCAAGCGCAGATAGTGAGTCAGTCGAGACAAAGTCACAAGACGACAGCTCGCTGTCAAAGGTTGAGGGCCGACAACGAGGCCGCTCAGCTACCCCGAATCCACGGAAAGGATCGGCAAGCACTCACGGTGAGACTTTCATACACTGGAAAGCCGTGTACAGCTAATGTCTCTGACCTTTTGCCGTAGCAGGCTCTTCAAAAATCGTTTCGCCGGATATTCCGTCACACGGCCCTAGCAGCGCTTCCCGCGGAGACCACGGATCCCCCTCAGCCTCGTCTTCTCTCTGCAAGAAGGGCCTTCCAGCCGGACAACCCACCGAGCCCATTCCCGAGTTTGCTGTCTGGGCGGGATCAGTGAGGCACGTTTTCGACGATGAAGGTACGGCAGAGTTATTCAGACGACAGCAGGAAGACCGAGAAGAGCAGGTGCGTACCCGTCTCGAGGATGAGCAAGAGGAGACCCGGAAACTGAAGGAGGAGAAGAAGTTGATGGAGAGAATACGGAAGATCAAGAATCAGCGAAGAATGTGGTGACAAGCTGAATTTTCCCGGGACTGGATCGCGCTACAACTCTACCTATTAGACCAGGTTGACATATGGAGCCTCGATTGTGCCCTAGTCATGGTTACGATTCAAAGTTGGTTCATCGCAAGATCGCATTCTAGACAGGATATCATGGACAAGTCGCGTTAAATGGCGGAACATTCTTGCGTTTCACTAGTGTCAATCTCGAAAACTTCTGTCATCTCAACAAATACATCGATTGTCAATTTCTTCCTTACACGACGGCAGAGCGCAGAGGGGTGACATACTCCATGCTGCTTCGTTCACACTCACTCTCACTGATGCGCGTCATAACGCGAACCAAATCTCGGTTCGGCAAGCGCGCGACGCGTCGAAGAAAGCCCTTATTTTACAGAATCCACCGCCAGCCAACGTCAGTACCTACGGTATCCCACTTTCATTTGGTTCTTCACGACCTGGTCGTTAGTTACATTCATAGATGGCTCCAACGGCAAAGAATGCGACCCTCAATGTGCCCAAGACAATGACACTGGGGCCTCCAAAACGTTCCAAGAAGACGGCGAGGACCCAAACCAGGCCGAAGAAGGCTACGAAGCAAGCGACACTGCCGCAAGGCTATCGAGTTCTGAAGAAGCCCGTCTCTGGTAGTTGTGCCGTGTCGAAGATTTTGAAGCAAACGACAGAGGTATGTAGAGCAATTTGTATGTCGAGAAGCTAGTCTCACCAAGGCTTACAGGCAGGCGTTGTTCCCAACAGCTCTTCAGAAGAAGCAACGGCACCATCGATTCGTTCGCTCCTGGCGCAACGAGAAGAAGATTTGGCGTGGCAGAGGCGGGAGCTCGCCCGTCAGGACAAGGCCAGAGACCGTCGGGCGGAGCAGATTGCTACCCGAGGCTTCTTCCACAAAGGACGATGGATACGGCCAGAGGTCAAGGAGCCGTTCATCATCAAAGTCGAGCGGGGTACCAAGGGTACCGAAGACAATCCCATTGAGATACACGACGAAGATAGTTCTAGGCATATCGCCAGTGAGAAAGATACCTTGGCCGTAGACACTGCGGTATGTCAAACTTGCATTCTTTTGTACTTGACTAACTTTCTTGCAGAGATATTTACGACTTCGGAAAGCACGAGTCGAATCGGACAGCAAAGTGGACAACGCAGATGAAGGCCGCCCACGGATGGGCCGTGGTCCCGATATCACCAGCAGCTTCGATCATCGCTACCCGCATATCGCTGAGTTGCTCGAGGACAAGATGCTCGACGAGCAAGATGACGCTGGGTCGCTATGTGACTTTGTGGCTACCGACGAGGGGAGTGATGGCGGAGACATGGATGTTGACGGTTAGAGTGACTATTGAACGGGCAAGAGACACCAATTGTGGGGTGCATATTGTTCAAACACGTGTATTCAGGCTTAATAGATAGAGGTGGGCATACAAATGCACGACTCGTCAGGATCGAGCGAGGCGCCTGCTTTCGTGCAGTCATCGAATACAGAAGTCATCGTATGCCGTTGGGTGGCATAGATATGCTTCATTACCTGTAAAGCGTACAATCTACGGTTCTTGTAACTGGTGCTACAGCAACATGTCGGCATCTGGATTGCCAGTCAAAGATTGAAAATGGGCAGTGGGGGAGATTACTGGGGCTGCGATATCCTCATGTCGCGGTCGCAACTTTCCGCATCACCACCAAACCTGACTCTTGCTTTGTTGTGGGTGTATTCATAACATAAAACCACCAAAACACGCGACTGACCCTCACAAGGCCTTGGAACCCGGGGACTGAAGCTGCCGATGACGAGCTAAGGCCAATTCGGGTTCCAGCGCAACCTTAACTAGTCATCGACAAGTCGCCCCTAGATTCCTATACAGGTAAAAGAAATTATCGCCCATAGTCCTCATGGTGGAATGTGGAATGTATAAGTGCCAATTGTTCCCCTTTTCAGAGGACTACCCAGTCCTCTACTACCTACTATATCTCGCCTTCAGGAGACCGAAATACCAGTGCACTAGATCTCCATAAGCTCATATCGATAGGGAACAAAAGCTCCATAATGAATCTGCCTGTCACCGACCTGAACAGATACTTGGAACCCGTCCAGGTGCTTTCCAGTCCCTACCTCTGGGCGTCTGTATGCCATTTGACCAATTTCGCTGCCTTAGTGTATCTCTAATCTTACCTTACTTTAATACATCTAATAGCCTCCTCTAGCTAGATGCATGACACTGTGGGCACACCAACCACACCTCCGCCCTGACGGGCAGAAGCATGCTCATCAGCCGCTGACGGGGCTTGACGGTGGGTAGATTCGTGATTTAAATCTGAGTGAGCACGCGAATCTGGCTGATGCCCCTTTTTATCCGGACGATCAGCCATGCTGAGTCGCGGGGCTGCTTTGGTGTTTCAGAAGGTGTACAAGCTCTTCTTCAGAGCTTGCAACCACGGCGGGCGGCGAAGGTTGTTCGACAATGCAGCACCAAGTCAGCGTATCGCAGCAGCTCATGCAATACAAGAGCCGAATGTGCTCAGACTTTTGACTCGGTACTGCAAAATGGATACTCCTTTAGTGGGGGGAGTTGGTATTGTAGAAATGGCTCGCGGTTAGACGGTCCGTCTCCCCCATGGTGTGCCGGTGAAAGGCCGGTAGCCGTGAGAGGGCATTCAAGGTCGCGATGTGTGACGTCAAGTATCGCACAAGAAAGCGCAGCTGCTGTGTGAGTTTTCGACGCGGCCGCCCAACCACGCACCTTTACACCCCAACTACCGCCGTCAACACCTCTGTGCAACTGCACGACTCGCGACCACGTAATGGGCATGTCTACCAGCCCTGGCGCCTGTGCCCCCAACATCGACGCTGCCACGCCGGCACAGTCGCACGCGAGCCCGGACACGAGCGACAACATTGCGCGTCTGAGTTACATCGACGTTGGAGAATCTGCATGTCCTAGCAGCAGTGATGGCTCTCGTTCTACGGATGTGAGCTTCCCTTCAGCGGTCGAGCACTTTTTCCAAGGCCACTACGGCAACCTCTGCTGGCGTTGTGGCCCATACGCAATACCGCCGCTCAAAGCCGCCCCTGTCTTCCCTGGGAACAGCTGGGATCAGGAGCGATGGCAGTCCGCAGGCTTACTATCAACCGACATCCACGCCTATGGAAATGTCTTGTGGTTGTGCCTCCTCTGCAGGAACGCCTTCAGCAGAATCGGTACTCGGATGTTCATCGTGCCCACGTTCCTTAGTAAGCCGTAGCATCAGCCCAGTATGGGAGTGATACTCACCTTTTCGAAAGAATTCTTCAAGCAAGCCGAACTCATGTCGCATGCAAGCAATGAACCTCGAAGAGCACCAACCGCGGAACAATACGCAGAGTACTGCCAGGCTCAACGGTCAGACTGTTACCCACCGCTCGAATGGGGCCTGTACACTGTCTACACTGTACTAGGCCCTCTCGGCTCAAATTACTGGGTGGAGGACTGTCTACAGTGGTCAGGCGATCCTATGGCCATCGTCGCGCGTATGCGACCGACAATAGATCTGCCGCTCTCTTTGAGTCGGTTGGAAGACGACATTGGCGATCTTGTGGATCTGTACTGGGAGGGCGGTCAATTGGCGCAGCAGCGCACCTCGACTGCAGTCACCAAGCCGCCTGCTAGTCTCACACCCCGCGCTGAGGCCACTACCTTGGCCCATGAACTTGTACACGTCGACAACATCGCTCCTTCCACCACCCTCAACTCCGCCTTTTGCGATAGGAAAAGCCTCAATTCTACTCCAGAGAAGGCTCCCCCAACACGCGGAGTCTCCCGCATCCTCTCCCCGCGGTGTCTTCGATCACTTGTGTCACACGAACAAGGCTAGCATGAGCGTAGCTGAGAAGATCGAGCATTGGAGGCTAGCGAACGGTGAGGCTATGGAAGGTTCTGCCGACACAACCATCAGGACACCGTTACCTCCTTCGCCCTAGCGCAGCTTATCTCGAGCTGCGGGAGACCTTGGTTTATGGCGCGGCAAGGCTCACAACATCTGTGATCCCCTCGCTGCCCATGGATCAGACATTTCCTGAAGTATCCTCGCTTTCACATGCTCGATCTTTGTTTTGACTGTCTTGCGTTTCTGAGTATACGATGGGGCCTTTTTCCGCAGCATTGCTTGCTCAGATGTCTTCCCAGTAATGGTATCCTTGCGTTCCTAGAGAATGAAACCCATGCCTGATATACTTGTTAGAATGTGATCGCATTGTAACCGTCTATGCCCGCGCCATTCAGACCGTTGACCTCGACCTCAACCGTACTTACTGTTCTTACTCTATGACCCCATCCTCCTTGCACTTACATCTGCCTGAATTCCTCTCTACCCCTCCGTCACTCACTAGCCTGGCCCACCGGGACGAGTTTCCAAGCCCAACCTAGCCTCTCTATCGCCAAAACGCCAAACTCTGTGACAACACAGGCAAACACTTTGCACACTCTGTGTCCTAAACGCGCTACCGATACCCGAAAAGCCTGTACGTGAGACTGGGAGAATTTATTTCGGATGGAGGTGGGAAGGACGCAAGCGCTGTGTGTTGGCTGGCTAAGGGTGCGGAGGACCTGATGTAGCTGTCGTGGGTAGGATGGAGAGAGGTGCGGTGGAGATCGACGTACGAAAAACGCACTTTGAAGTGCGGATGGCTTCTCGGAAGGGGGATAGATGCGGAGTCTTTGGTTGCGCCTGCAACATAAGCGGTGGGGTTGCTGAAACAGGGCGTAGCATTGCGAAGTGCGTTGGTGTGGGAAGTAACGTTGAGAAAACCGCCAGCGCCAGCCAATTGCGTCAATTCGTTGCATGAGCAAAGTCATGACTTGTGGAAATGGAGTGGAGTTCAAGAAATCGGAGTGGCCTGCTCAAGGTTCTGGATCTTGACCTTTGCGCCGGTCAGATCACAGGACATCTGCTGGTTCTCCTGTTGCTTCATCTTTATGTTTAAACAAGAGATAAAGGCTAGCGTGCGCGTGACTCCCGATACAAACCGTGTACTAGTACGATAACACTTTCTGTTTTAAACTCTCCAATTACTGATTGTTGAAACGACGAGTTGATGGCACACGCTTAGTTTTCTAGTCATTGAGACTCCGTGATCTCTAGATGAGTGATGTGAAGATGATGTTCACTCGGAATGTCAGATCCTCTTATTTATATGGACGGCTTCTTGCAATGAGTGATGAGATGCACGTCCTGGGATCTTCTAACGCCACGGTCACGCAGGGTTGCTTCGTGGTGTCTCTTGATCAAGCAAGCAAGCAAGACGTGTGAAGTAAAGGCTATGCAAGACAAGTACGGCCACCCGCACCCTAGAAGTTTACTTCCACCCCACAGCAAGATCTGCTAGCCTGTTCTGTAACTACTTCCGACTTCGATGTTTTTCAAAGTTATAGAGGTGATTTTCTTGCGGAATTTGCCACCATTGTAATAGGTACCCTTCCCTTTCGAAACCATAAAGGCCCTTCACACTTACTTGTTATGGAGCCATAGACTCGTTTCAACTATAGACCAATTCATTTATAAGCAAATATATTCCAGATAGGCATGCTTTGGGATCAATCGCGATGTTCACACATAGATGAGAACAAAGTCAATTAAGAAGGGATACAAGCGCGTAGGAAGTAGCCCTGCTGGCCGTAAATATCGGAACCCTCTCTTCCAGTAACCTGGCTATTGAACGTCAGATCTCCTCAACACACAGTTGATGCTGCCACGTTAACCAACTTTAACTTTTCCTTCATTATTATACTACACAGCTCTCGTTGGCGCTCTTGTCTTTACCTGGACGAAACGACAAATCAATATCTGGCTCACGAGACAAATATCGCAGTCCTTGCACAGCATCTGCTCGATTTGAGGAGCTGGTAAGAGCCGCCAGTGTCAACCCAAATTGTGCGGGTAGATGGTGAGTCAGCCAGCTGCAGCAAGGACCTCACGTGCGCGTCAGAGCACCTGCACCTGGGCATAGCCTGAAGCGCAGGAAAGGGTCCGGCGCTACTTCATAACCGACTCCCAGCATCGAACGGCGACTAAAACGTGGTGCGCAAACAGCCCTTACCCTCGCAAACGCAACAAAAATGTTGAAGAAACTCGCCTCCTCGGGCGACTCCCTGAAAACACCCCTTGGCTCCATGCAGCAATCCCACGAATTCGCGTCCACGCCGACGGAAGAGCCCGTCGCCGTCCCCAACAGCACGCCCAAGACCTCTGCCTTGCCCATGAACGCGTCTCACGGGTCTCAGATCGATACCTCTGCCTCCCCTACGAACAATATCGTCGCACCCGACACCCCGCCTACCGAGCCCCCAGCCGCAACGCCAATAATCTGGGGCTGTTCGCTGCCGTTAACCGAAGCGACAGTTCAAAAATTCTCCGGCGATTCGAGCTGCGCAACACTACAGGAGTCTTCCATTGTCACCCCCGCCACAAGTCACACCGGTCGTCAAGACGATACTTCCCGTGCATCCGCGGGCAGCGATATCATAACCAAGGCCATTGATGAAGTCACCAAGTTACGGGCACACAATGTTCAGCCAGACACCAAGCGCGCACTTCCCAAAGATATTGCAGACTTTATTTCCGGTGTTCTCCAGAGGCCTCTCGAAGGCGAGCGATCGCCAAACGCCAAAGAAGTCGTTACAATCTCTCAGGATACTGCCTTTTCCGATGAAGATATCTTTCTCTTCAACATTGCGCCCTGGTTGGTCATTCCCTTTCATCAGCCTGGGCCGATGCTTGCCTCGGTGGGGAAAACCAGGCTGTCAACCGACTGGTTGCCCACAGCTTCGGAGGAAATCGTGAAGGGCCTGGGAGCTCTCAGCGAGGCCAGACCGGATACCGCTCTCGGGTACGCGAAGAAAGGCATTGTCGATCCATCGACGAAGACGGCCTTCACCAGCCATGAGGAGTTTGTCTACCTCTCAAGGTAGGTTATAGATTATTCTCATGAAACGCCACGCTGATTACGACAGGTTCGACATATGTGAGGAGCTTCTAATGCCATTTCTTACTGCCCAGTACAAGCCCGCCAACGGGGAGTCCTTCACTATCGCCCAATTCGAAGGTGCGCGCGATGGTGCGTGCATCGTCAACTATCTGTACGAATTCTACGACGCAGCGAAGCGTGATGCTCCCACAACTCTTGAGACATGCCACTTTTCAATCACCGTCGACCCATGGCAAGCCATGCTTTGGGTGCATTGGAGCGAGGCTGAGCAGGACACCCGAGCATACTACTCGAAACTGGTCATGACCTGTTCCAATCGGTCGGTCAGTCAGGTTCAGGAGTTCCGTGTATATATCAAGAACTTGATCAACTGGGCCTGCGAAGATCGGCTTCGGTCAATCAAGGAAGCACTTCCAGACTTCCACGCCAACAGAGGGCCCCCCACGAAGCGACAGAAGAAGGGCACTACTTCTTGATGGGCTGATTTCTTCAAAGTTTTGGAACTCTGGTTTCTTACGGAGTGTAATACATGCGCTAGCCTTCCGAGCTCGTCCCATACAAGTCCACCCGGGACGAGTAAGCAGACTTCGAATTGCGCCAGGTCTTTCTGCGCATCATCTCTACTTTATTGCATTGTTTCTTTACTTATCCTCTCCTTCTTTTGGTACCCCCACCGCGATGGAGGTATGGTAAAACCAGTATTTCATTCCGGTGTGGTCATCTCCGGTGTTTAGGATACGGTCAGGTGTTACATGGCGAGCTGCTCAGCTTGTTTTTCGGCCTCTACAATACCCAACGTACTTTAGTTAATGCGATTTTCCATTCCCTACTGTTCAGCTTTGCATGTGATCGCCTGTGTTAAAAACGCCGTCTCCTCTACACGGGCAGTACCACCGTGATGTCTTACACTCCGTATCGGTAAGCTTGCATTATCGATAAGGCAGCGGTAGCCCTACGGGGACGTTCTACCCCGATATGAACTAGCTCAGGTACGCTGCTGCCCCGCCAGTCCGCGCATCGCCCAAGCCATCGGTTCGCGCGTCACCCATACACTAGTGTACACCTGTTCGTGCGTGTCCCGAGGTCCCACCACGACAATCCGATTTTTTAATGTTCATTTCGGCGGACTGTTCCATTTGCGTACAAGTCATCTGCGCACTCTGACTCCCAGCTCGAGAAGCTAGGCTGCACGTCCGCTCATAGCATCCTCTCCAACCTACCCTTCCACCCCCCTTTCTCAACCGTCTCCAACCCATCCTCACCACTTCCATTCCCAACACTAACCCCCTCATCCACGCTTTCCGCGTCGTATACCTCATCTGGGCCAACCGCCCTCTCAATCAGCGTCTCCTCTGGTGTCCACACCCGACTCAGTCCCACATACACGATACTCGTCCCCACGAACCCCAACAACCATCCAAACGTGTACGGCCTGCTCCCCACCCCAACGTCGATATTCTCATTGATGGAGTTGATGAACCCCGGCATATTGGGCGCGACGCCGACGATGAAGGCCACGACAGCGCGCCAGTTTACGCCATGCCAGTATCGGTAGATCCCGTGCGGTTGATACAGCGCTAGCGTATCGTAACGCCGGTGGTGGATTATGTAGAAGTCGAAGACCATGATAGCGGCGATAGGGCCGAGGAAAACAGCATACGCAGACATAAAATTGAGGAACGAGCCTGCGGATTTGAGAATCTTCCACGGGACGAGGGCCCACGCGATGAGGGCGCAAAGTAGCTGACCGCGGCGGATGTTTACATATTGGGGAAATAGAGCGGCGAGGTCGTTTGCCGCGGATAGAGAGTTGGCGGAGATGTTTACACCTAGTGCCGCGAGTGCGAAGGAAAATGCTGCGAAGAAGCGACATGATCGCGAGGACCAGTGCGAGATGAGGGCCATGGGGTCCCATTCCAGGGTTCCGTAGCGGGCGGCACCGGCAGAGGAGGCGGCGATGCCGATGAAGGCGATGAATGTGAAGATGATGGGTAAGAATGGCACGTATATAATCTGCCACTTCACGCTAACCCTCGAGTAGCGCGAGAAGTCGGCCTGACAACGTGTCAGCATGTGTCCTCTGGGCAGATAGGAGTGGAGACGTACCTGATTGACGCTCAGCGTCGCATAGTTCCCAATCACACTCGTCAGGCTGCTCAGAAATGCCCAACTGTACGCACTTCCTTCGATTTTACTCTTCTGTGTAAACAAATCACCTCCGCCATCTGTCGCCACGAACGCCCAAACGAGGATCGCGATCCACGCCACCGGCACCACGACGCTCTTCACCATGAACAGCCATCGCAAGTTGTTTGGGCGCATGACCAAAAATGGGACTTGAATCAGCCAAAAGAGGAAGAAGGATATCATCGACTTCGTGTCAATGCCCTGGCTTTCCGGGATATGGTTGTTCAGCGTCAAGAAGCTCGGCCAGATCGCGCCTGGCGAATGGCTGATTAGTCTTTGGTCTCAGATAGAGTGTGGTACTTCTCTTGTATCCCAAGAAAGCGATGTGATCGTTCTCTTCCTCGGCTCTTTTCGTAATCTCCCTTTCTGACGGTGACGAGATAGTGTCCACTTACCAAGCATAACCCTCACCGTATTTCCCCCGTTCATAGTCTGGATCGCAAACCAGAAGATGGCCAGAATAGCTCTGCTCACAATCGCAATGTAGCTGCCCCAGAAACCCCAGCTCGCCCTCGCCAGCACTGGAAATGGCGCATGATGTATTACCCCAATCGCGCCATTGAGGGCGATCACAAAGCTAACGATAAAGAAAGCCAGCGCAACGATTCCTATCGCTTCCCGCCAGCTTAGGCCGATGGATATGATTCCGGCTGCAAATTGCCATGTTGCTGCGTTGAAGGCGTCGGACACCCAGTAGGCGAGGAAAGAGGTCACGCCCCACTTGCGGGCGTGGCGGGGGACGGGGTCGAGATCTTTGTTCGTCCTTTCGACCAGAATTAGGACTTCGAATCAGGGACTGATACAAGACGAGTGTGATGTGTAGGGTGACGATGTTGCCGAGTAACTTGGGACATGACGACTTGCCCAGCATCCAATCGCGATTACTCGAAACGGATGCTACTGGTGGACATGGACTCACCATCGCTGATTGCCCTCCGCAAAAGCAGACCCAGGCTGGCCGACCTTCAGACGGGGCCGCTTGAGCGCGAGCATCGTGATCTGGAATATGGTCACCTTTGGTGGTAATATGCGACACGCAATTGCCGCACATTCGTGGATGATTTCCTAGACTTGTAGCTGTCTCTCCTGCTGTCGGCTACCAACTACCGATCCCTGTTGTGATAAGATAGCATTCTCGGTGTCACGATAAGAACGCGGGTAGCGATAAGCATCATATTGCCCCAACCGATGCAAAAAGAACGTCCAAACCTCCGTTCTTGTAGGCCTCGGGTCTCGTGTTCTGCGTTCGAGACCAGCTGGACTTGCCCGGATAGGAAGTTTGGGCAGAGGTCGCTCCGTATCAATGCGACCGTCTTGCACTCCAGCTGGCGATTTGTGCCAAATGTGCTGATTTATGTTGCCGAGGTCGACCCAAAGCGTGGACGAGCCGACATGTAACTTTTGTCAAGGGCTGGTCGCTTCATCGGAACGACGAGTGGCGACCATGGAATGATTAATATGACACGAAGCAGAACCTCTGTTGTGGCGATGTACTTGCACAATATTTTACTCGCTGCCACGAGGTCAGTTGCATGACAGCGACGAGGTGACGGGTCGATGGCGGCCTCGCGGCGTCACGAAAATAACGGAGCATAGAGCCTCCCATGAATCAGAAGCACAATCCTTCTGTCCATTACAAACACACGAGCGTTTCTCACAAGTCATTCGCTAAGATCAAGTTTGTTACTTTTGCTTATGGCTAGATTAAGCTGGGGCTATATTTGCCATAAATCGGCTGTTCTCCTACATACGACCATAGGACACTGAAAACTAGGCTTCCTCGCCGCTCCGTCATTCCTCGTGGGACCGTAAGCGGGCATTCACCTTCTGGAGCCGGGATCCTAAATATACCTATAACGGCCCCCTAGTTCGGATGGTCCTAATGCCTTATTCGTTGGATATTTAAACGCGTGCAGCTTGAGCTGCAGATTTCAGCCGGATCCGGTCATGGGCGCCTGCTGAAATTCATGCTTACCCGTAAGCCAAGACTTTCGAAGACCATCGCTCTGTTCGAACCTATATATAACCATGACCCCCGCGCAAGGCTGTAAGCCCTTTGCTCGAAAGCATCACAGATGCTCGTCAGACGAACTATTAGCATTCGACAACCGACGCAGATCATGATGAGACTAGCGTGCTTCCTGCTGGCTATACTAGCATCCACAGACTCCATCTGGGCGCAATCTGATGTCTCCAGCGCTACTTGCAACGTATGTGAGCCTATAAATGCTGCATGTATCAACTTTACTGACCTAAAAGTCAACCTGCAAGCCCGGGAGCACCTCTATATCGGGCGCCTGGTTTCCTCATCCGTCGGGTGCTTCATACAGCGATTACATTACAGCCAACCTCACGGGCTCCGGCATAACCAAAGCTCTCGCAACCTTCCATCTTCCAGTCGCTGCATCCGGCAATTACACTATACGCGTCCGCACGCCGGGCTGTCTCCAGGACGATACCTGTTCCACCCGTGGAAGGGTCAACGTCACAGGCCTCTTCGGGGACCCCGCTGACCCCACGGCAGGCCCTTCAATGATGGTGCTATCCCAGACAAATACCTTCGATAAGTTGGACGAGATATACGTCGGCTTCGTTCGAGCAGCCACAGCCGATTTCACGCCTACTGTGAATATGACGCCGATCGCGGATGACGTAATTAATGGTCTATTCACAATGGTCGCCCAAGCTGTTGAAGCACTGTTCAATGACGACAATGCAAGTTCATCTCCAGGGAACACAACAACTGATGTCGCCTCCTCCAGTATTGCAACTACAGTTTCTACCAGCAGTGCCGCGCCCTCTACGACATCACAAACAGCCCAGTCGCACCATCTTGACAAGGGAGGCAAAATTGGGTTGGGCATCGGCCTTTCACTAGGTCTACTATTGCTTACTGCTTGCATAGCGATAGCACTCCGAGCGCACCGAAAACGAGCCGAAAAAGCGAAGTTGCCGCCGGAGCTTGATGGCGCGAGCGTCCATACGGAGTTGCCAGATGCCAACATGCCCGAGATGCCGTCTCATGCCAACATGTCCGAGATGCCGGCTCCACCAGCGTACAGTGACACAGTAGAACTCAAAGCTACTTTTTGAATTAAAAGCAAATTTGGAGAATTAGAGCTTAGTACACTTCGGATTCGAAAGTGGCTAAGGATGCGCAGACGTTTGAGGGCGTGATCTTCGCCTTCACATGTCGCTCATTCTATCTGCTGCTGTGGTGTAGCTTGGTGTTCGTGATGCTAGGTGTGAAGTCTGGTGCGAATATCTGGAGTTGAGAATCTCTCGACATGGGGAGTCACATGTTCTAGCCAGAGGCGCGTCTGAAGTCTCTTCAGATGCGCAGGGGGGCCTCACTCATGCACGCCCGAGAGATATTCGATAGCAGATTCCCCAGGGTTCTGATTCTTCAGTTGCGGGTCATGTTCAAGCACCATATTACTCCACACTGGCTTTCTTCAGATAAGCTCGAGCAGCTACCTAGAGTGACTGCACAAGCTACGAGCTACGAGCTCTGTCTTCTCTAGAGTGATAGCCGGCCGGTTGTAAGCTTCTTTCGCCTTTCGAGCAGCGACCCTGATGTCGGAGACGACAGCTTTGTGTGATATGGTCGAGGTGATTGGTTAAGAACAATTGAAAGAACTATGAATGCAGCGGATGGCGTCCGTGCACGGACGCGGTAATCTGCTCTTTTCTTGCATGTAGGTTCATCCGTGAGCAGAAATTATCAAGATAGTCCGATTCTAGGGGGAAACGAGTTCCGTTTCAATACACTACATTGACGAGGATAGCATGGTAGCCTTGCATAGGGCCTTGATTGAGTCTTGGTTTTTCTGCATTGCTTTGGTCGAGCATTATAATTATCCCTCCTATTCCGCCCATCTGGCAGCTGTTGAGGATGGTAGTTCAGTCAAGGAGAATAAGAGAGTTCACTCTAACGTGTGTTTAAGATCCTGCTCAGGGCAAATGTGATCCTTTGAGCTTTGGAATACATGTATTTGCGAGCTGCGTGCTATTCTTCGTATGGTGGAGTATCGGTAAGCTAATGACGTGAGCTGGTATATACTGTACTTGCAACGGAATCTTCCACATACGACCATAGGACACTGAAAACTAGGCTTCCCGTCCGCTCAGCCATATATAAGCAGTGTACCGGCGGATTAGTAGTTGCGTGGGTGACCAGCAGCGAATACCCGCTGTTGTATGTTTTTAGCTTTTTCTTCCCTTATACATAGCAAGGGTAGACAGCGCTATGGCGACTTTGATCACATCTTTTTCCTCTCGGTTGGCTCCAGCGCGATGGGGCTAGACTTCTGGCGGGCGGTTCCAGCTTACAATCATGCAGCGACGAACGATGCTCACAATACTTTCAATTTGTGCACCTGTGCGTATACACGTTCACGGGGCAAGAATCATGGCACCTCACGCGTCGCAACAGCCCCAAAACATGACAGACGCACTAAACGAGCGCTAGCGCGATGAGACCACAGGAGGAATGTGTCTTTGGAGACAGGATGGGGTAGTCCCTTAGATATTGCCGCTTATGTGATACGAGGATCGCCTGTGATTGGCCATGGCTCCGGGCCCGCCGGTTTTTCCACACCGGGGCCGATCCTCTACCGCTCCACTCGCACCCCCTCCCTGAATCGTGTCTCTGCCCCGCTGCTGCTCGCTGCAATCCTCCGGCTTACTCGAAACAGACATCCTGAACACTGTCCAAGAGTCCCCCGGTAAGTACCAAAACTGCGCCCAGTCTACGTTCCTCCCTCTCGTCCTCCATCCACTGTAGTCACTCACGATGTCCTCAGAGTCCACTGCCCTGAAGCCCGCCGCGCTCTCCCGCCCGCCGCTCAACGCTATTGCCCCGCATCTGCGCGCTCGCTTCGACCCGGTCTTCGTGCGTTACCATGAAGCCTACGCTGTCGGCCGTCTGCACACGCACCAAGTTCCCATCACCGACTTCCGCGCCAACCCTCGCAAGTACATCACCAGCTTTGGCAAAGCAATCGCCGACGCCCCAAACGTTGGCCGCATAAGTGACATCGAATGTCCTGTGGACAATGGCAAGAACAGGATAAAGATCAGAGTCTACGAGCCGAAGGAAGGCGCGTTCAAGGACGAGGGCAAAGGCAGGCCGGTGTTTGTGAACTACCACGGCGGCGGTTGGGTCTTTGGCGACATCGACACGGACACGGAGCACTGCAAACGCATAGTCAACGGCACGGGCGCTGTGGTCTTTGACGTGGAATACCGCTGCTCGCCAGAGTACCCATTCCCCGTCCCTGTCGAGGACGCGTGGGATGGGCTGCTGCACGTTGTGAAGACGCAGGCTCAACCTTTCCACCTCGACACTTCACGCGTTGCAGTCGGGGGCCCGTCGGCAGGCGGGCATCTCAGCGCGGTCGTCGCTCAGCGCGCGCGGGACGCGGGGATACCGCTCGTGCTGCAGCAATTGCACGTACCAGTGTGTGATATGGATCAGTTCGACGAGCAAGGGCGGATCAAGGAGGACGCACCGTACGAGAGTTATCGGGAGATGTATGAGACGGTGCCGCTGAGTGGGGAGCGGATGGAATACTTCGCGCGGCATTTCCTGGGGGTGCCGAGAGCGAAGGGAACGTACAATGTAAGTTGAGACGGTCGCATCTTGGAATCCGGTGTTCAAGAATTGACAGCTAACACTGTCGCAGAATCCTGCGGTATCGCCTATCCATGCTCCGTCACTCGCGAATCTTGCGCCCGCGCTCGTCGTTACGGCGGAGATGGACCCGTTAAGGGACGAGGGATACGAATACTACAAGAAGCTCAAGGCGGCCGGGAACGACGCAGAATACTACATGATGCCAGGTATGCCACACACAGCGGCAATACTGGACGACATTTGCGCAGAGGGTCAGAAGTGGAATGGCATGGTCATCTCATCATTGAAGAAAGCGTACGGGCTATCGTGATCCACACGTAGCAGAGGCAGTCGAGACAGCTGCTTCACACCGTTGAGCACTTCAATATACACCAATAAATCACAGACTCGCTGTCCAACTGCCAACCCTCCATGCTATGTCGCGAAGCCTTCACAGGCCTACCGTCACCAGTACTGCCGATCAGCTACTCTGTTCAACCACAACACTCGCTCGCAGACAGCGACATATCTCATCATATTACAAGGTCAATCCAACGTCTACACCCTGCCACAAATAACGCACGTATTTCCGGCTTAGTCTCAAGCTCAATGCTTACACCTGCATCATAAACTCTACGTCAAATTACCATTCACCGCACTCGCTAAATCCACTTCGTGAACGTAGATATCGGAGCTCCGGCACAGACGCATGCATTTTTGACTGCGCGGGGTTGATAAAAGCTTTACTCGAGTCACTGCCTGTACTTCGAGCGAAAACGAATCTTGACTCGCATGCGATCCCGCTGATGTCAAATTTCAGGGTCCAGTGCCCAATTCATGGCTCAAAGGTTCTGAATATTCCTCGGGAAGAGATGGCGGGATATCTCGAGGTCCCCAGTGGCAAGAGGAATCTGGGGGATGATCATGGGAGATCGCTCGGTGACACTTCGGCAGGGATTCCAATGATGCTAAGGATTCCATATGTACATTATCATACAGTACCCATCATCCGTCATATCCTTCATCTCCTCCCCGCCAGTAGATATCAACTCGTTAGCTTTGTTGGTGAAGGTGACCATACGAGCTATGGTGGTGCGGACGTTAATATGAAGATGTGGAGGCTCATTGGGTAGGCCCAAAGAAAAGAGATTCTAGTTCAAAGGCCTTCAGAAGATGGGCGGGAGCCGGAGACCAGTAAGGATGTGAAAGATGCATAGACAATGTGTAGGATGCCATACGCCGGTCGTCTCGTGAAGCGGCGGAAAAGGAAGTGTCTGCGTCGAGCTACTATAGCATCGTCCTGGCATGGTGTGCTTGTAAGCGAAGAGGAAACGAGTGACGATGTAAGTTCGGATATGTAATGCGTAGGTCGAGATGTGGAGTGAGAGATATAAGTCTCGTTTGCAATATGGGAGCCATACCTTGTTGTCAAGGTAATGACAGACGATAAGAAAGGTGGAAGAATACCATGCTCTCCGTGTATGCTATTAGTGCTTGTGATAGGGAAAGAGAAAAGTTCAAGAGCCTTGTAACGTTAATGGCCGTTATTAGGTCCGTGTCTCAATAAGAAGAACCGTTCCGTGACACTACAACCACAATACAGCCTGAAGAGTTTTAGGGGTTCGATCAACTAGCCGCCTTTAGTGGCGGGGTTAGGCCATGCGCGGACGCTGGGTTAATAACCTATCCTCACTTCCATCAGAGGGGTGTGGGCGCTTACTACCAGTAGCTAGAGAAGAAATCGTTTACTATTATAATTACTTAGTTAACTCCTCTACATCCAAGGGTTAAGCATGTGCAGAAGGAGCGACCGTCTAAGTAATACTTATCGAATTCCCGTTAGGCAACTGGGGAACAAAACCTGAGGATTCAGCAGCCCTCGTAGTCAGGCTAGTGACTGCGGTCGTATATGGGAGGGGCAATCCAGCGACAGACATTAGTCCAGACGCAGATGCTAATTCTTATAGGTTGGCAGGTACCCATATACAGGGTTCCCGTGGCTCAGATATAGAAGCTACTTTTGCGTAGGCCGTGTAAGCGGATGCTAGCGTAAGTACGGCTGCCTACTACTCTCCCATCTATTCATCTTCCATTAATGGCTGCACCCAGATCATTCTTAAGTTCATGGAAGTAAAACTCTGCGAGTCCAACTAGCCATAATCTACGTACTAGAAACGGACGAATGTATGGGTTCTAGATGCCTTCTTGCTGCGCCCAAATCTCGAAGCGATCCATCATGGAACAGAAGATGGGACTACTGCCTAGATAGCCATAGCATTCTCAATAACGCTCTAGTAGCGTTCCTGTAAAAGAAATATCATTATACTAAGTAGAGAGATCGCGGTCGTCAGCAGGAACTAACTCCTAGGAGCTGCTCCATCGTCATTTTTCACAAGGTTCGTGCTCGCTATCCAGATCCATTTCGAGGTGTTGCCCCTCTTCTAAAGACTACTCAGGAGAAGTTATCGTCTCTTCTGTGTCTGTCATAGGTACCTCTCCATTTGGATTGTAGAAGTTACGAGGCTGCTGGGAGAACATATTCTAGAGCAATCGATGGTAGAGATTAGAAATTCCAACGTTAGAACCGTGTTGCAGGGCGCTCGATATGGGGAAGGCTAAGTTAAGCTGTGATGAAAGCTGCTGCCGGTAGAAAGGCTTTGTAGCCTCCGCAAAGGGGCTGTCGTCTAAACTAGTGAGAGGCTTGTAGTTTACCAACTGTTGCTCTGAGTTGAGCATGGACGGGTGTGCATAGCTCAGCTTATAAGTGCGCCGGCGAGACCAAATGAAGAACGCATCGTCCAAGACACGCGCCTGGAAGGTGAACACAGACTACCTATCTGACTCAGGAAGAGTCCCGGCTTTGATGAAGATTCTTGAGGCGTTTCTAGAGATTCCCATAACAGACGAGGTGGGTGGGTAGGTGAATGTTCCATTGAGAATGTGAGTCACGTGCGTGTGTCAACCCCGGGCCGTCTCATGTCGCAAAGTGGCGGGAATATTCGAGATAACACAGGTACATGGAATGTTCGGAGGCATCATAGGAATTTGGCTGCTTTCTTTTCATCCTTGGCTAGCGTCGCCTCGCTCTTCCACAACCATAAAGCCGGTATGTCTTTGTTCGGGACCTGCTCGCATACGACAAACCAGCTTGAGTTCTCCACTCAGTTGCTCCTAGGGGCCCACACAATCGGATACAGCTACCTTATCATGTCTCGTCGGACTGCACGCGCAACGGGCTTCATGGGCGTCCGAAGGTGGAACATGAATTGCGCAGCAATGCTATCGTGATGCATTCACTAACATGATGTCTGTAAATTCTGATAGCTCCGCATCTGAAACTCTGAACACTGTTACTTCGCCGGATAGTCCAGTACCTCGCAGACCAACACTCCGCCTATGCCATAGCTTCCTAGGGAACGCTGCATTCCAATGGTAACATAAGCTGGATGGCCAGATATCGAAGCTGAAAAGGGACATTGATTACCTCGAAGACGCTGCGGCAGATACATACGATCACTTCAACAACAATTTCGTGTCGGTAAAGGCGGCGCTCCACATGCGCTTTGATGTTGTCGAAAAGACGCTTACGATCCTGTCCGATCGCTTTGGCGTTGGAGTCGCGGGGCTGGCTGCCAGATTGGATGGTACGGAGGAAGGCATTGAACGAACCGCTGATATACTGAGATTGGTGGAAGAAATACAGCAAGAGCGAATGAGAAGCGATCGGACCCTTCTGGCACTCTTGTTATTCGGTATTATGGCGCTGTGGTTTCGTCGATATGGGTGCATGGAGGTGCGAGGTTCAAGGGAGATTGGAGAGGCATTACGACGCTATGATGGTTCTGTGGCAGGCTTCAGACTTTGGCACCGTCGGCCCATCGGACGTGACTCAACAGCAGGTGAGTCATGCGAGTCCAGAGCGAATGCGAGGTGATCGGAGTACGAGTAGAATGTTACGATATTGCTCTTGGACTGTACGGTAGTTGTTGGGGCGGATGGTGGCGTCTCCTAACAATATCTCCGCTCCGACCTGAAGATTCACTACCCATGCCGAGCCTGCATGGGACACGAGATCAAATTGTTAGAATGCCCAATGATTTTCTTCTATGCGTCATGATCGCAAGCCCATTCTCTTGGTGTGACCATTGCCCTCAAATAGAAGGTGACCGGTGGTAAGGGCGATGAGGACCACGAGAAGCTCGAGCCGCAAGTGTCCTGTCACTTCGCGTCCAATCCGATCCTCATTGTCCGTTAATCCAAGCCGAAGTCGTCTCCATAACAAGAGCCACTCTCGTGCTTTTGTTTCATCGAAAAGTACCAGAGTGAGACGGTAGAGTCGTGACGGGTCCGGGTGCCTACGCACTCCACCAGGTCGTGATTGCATTTCCTGAAAGGGCCCACAAATGGACGAATCAATCCAGAGACGGAAATGATGAGCAAGCGCAGCGCGGGCGAGGATGGGGTTCGCATTGTCATTCCGGCAAGGTGGTTTTTTATCACGTCCGTCCACAACAGTATGGCTTGCAATGGTTCTTATAGTCGAGGGATGCTGATATGTCGTCTACAATGACTGTGCCCGTAGAGAACAAGGTTCTGAATGTTGCTTTCGGTAGTCGTCCGGCATCGTTGTTGACGATTCGGTACCTGTCCAATCATGAGGCGCTGAGCTAGGCGCCCGCCAGGGGGAGTATATTGAGCCCACGGTGCGGCGTTGCCGGAAGTGGAGTCAGCCTTACGACCCCGAGGAACGAGATATTGCGCGGCGTAAGAAGGAAAATTCTGCTTAGCCCGGAGGATTCTGCCTCGAGCAGAGCTGATAAGTAGACTTGAGATACTCGCAGGGTGACGCCAAGGTGGCATATTCGCCAGGTCCTTCGCCCGCGTCCACACAGGGGTGGCAGCAGTGCTGGTGATGGTGGTGCCATTTTCAAGAGTTGTGGGCTTATCGGATATGCAATGGTCGACATGAATGCATGGAAGTCGACTTCGATGAGTTGCTATCAACGGTCTCACATTCTGATCGCAACAGGTCGCCCGTACGGCAGAATTGGATCAAATCCTCAGACCTGTTCGTACATGGTGGGTGCCTGATACCGGCCGAGCTGCTGCGGCTTCAAAATCGCGGCGGTTTCTTCCTTTCCTCTCCTCCATGATGTGGCTGCGCACCTACTGCTGGCGACGTATTAGGCGTTCGGTAATGGAACACCACCTCCATTCGGCCACGTAGAGCGAGTGATACTTGCCGCATGCGAGCAGTATTCGGCCCCAACAAATCGCGCCGCGCACATCCTTCCGGGCGTCGCATATTGGTGATGCTGCAAAGCTTCTGCA